TTTTTTTTTTTTTCTCTTTTTTTTTCTTTTTCTTTTTTTGATCTTTTCAGAGTGTCTTTTCATCTTTGCGTATAAGTATTATTGGCTATCAATCAATAATGGTGTTTGCTCCTTACCTCCCGAGCATTTCTTTTTATTTATTTTTTTCTCCATTAGGCTGTTTCTCATTTTTTTCGTGTTGCGAAAAACCATTGGCAATCAGCAATGTCCTTTGATCCTTAACTTGGAGCACCACTTCCTCCTCCCCCCCCCCCCCTTCCTGCGAAAGAGGAGAATTGCTCGACGTAAGTCAAGTGTTAACGGAAGGCGTCAGCGCGATAGTTGACGTAAGTGAAAATTCGTTGGATCATCAGTGCCACTTCCCAACCCTGGGCCCTCTCCGATGTTCCGGCTCGCACTCTTCTTATCTTGTTGATCGGTGACATAAGTGTACGTCGACATCAATGGAAAGTGTCAGCGCAGTAGCTTATCTTATTCATCAGTGACATAATTGTACGTCGACATCAATGGAAAGTGTCAGCGCAGTAGCTTATCTTATTGGTCAGTGACGTAATTGTACGTTGACATCAATGGAAAGTGTCAGCGCAGTAGCTTATCTTATTGAACAGTGACATAATTGTACGTCGACATCAATGGAAAGTGCCAGCGCAGTAGTAATTTGCAAGAACAGCGGACAATTGTCAGTCCTTGCCGCCCAAAACCTTGTTAATGGAAGGAGGAAATTAATTATACGTCAATATCGTCAGTTAGATTCAGGCTGGTCGACCTGCGTCCATCCAGGTGTATACGGCTACATCTAACTATCATTTGTCACTCCCTCCCTTGAGTGCGCCACACTGTGCTCCTTCCCCTTCCATGTTGATCCCTCACGGCCGACCAGGGGGTCGACGTGTGACTGAGGGGTATTTTTGAAATTGAAGGGTCCAAAGCGGCCTGACTGTCGATGCTCGTATTTCTCTCTCTCTCTCTCTCTCTCTCTCTCTCTCTCTCTTTCTCTCTGTGCTTGCTTTTGGACACGGAGTGGTTATATCCACAGGCAGGATTTGTACTCATGATCTGTTGCTTGACTGTTGGTGACAATCTCTCTCTCTCTCTCTCTCTCTCTTTGTTTTTGGACACAGAGTGGTTGTATCCACAGGCAGGATTTGTGCTTGGTTATTGACTGTTGGTGACGAGTGAGTATCAGTTCTGAGCACCATTCAGCAACAGGCCTTGAAGGTACTGTTTGGATTCTCATTTTTCTTCTCCCCCTCTTCTCTGCAGGACAATTTCACTCGGTGCTTCAAGTGCAATCCCCCGGACGCGTGGAACTGGAATATCTATCTGTTCCCGCTCTGGTGCATAGGTGTTGTGGTTCGCTACTGTATATTGTTCCCATTGAGGTAGGTATGATCTGATTGCGCCTGTGGTATGCATGGGAGTCGATGTGGATGGTCTGGGTCGGTACTGGATGTATACCGTTTCCATCGAGTTTTGCCCTTTTCTGAAGTTTTTTTTCCATTCAATGGATTTGCAAGTCAAGCATCAACCAAAATATCAGATACATTAACGCAGCTGAAAAAAAAGAACCCAAACCCTCTCCGTTCGAAGTGAATTGTCACTCGTCCCTTGTGGCTGGCTGAATGGTACGCACATGCAGCAGCTGTTAGCGAACAGGTCATGAGTTCGAGTACGTGGGAGATCAGATGAATACCTGAGTACAGCTCTCCATCGAGGCTGGCCAAGTGATGAAAGTCAGACTTTAGTCCCCACATCGCACATTCTGTGTGAACACATTCTTCCTTGTGCATTTACAAGTGCTGGAGCTTGTTGGAGAGAGAGAGAGAGAGAGAGAGCTACTTGAGCTTGTTGGTTTCGTGGCTGAGTTACCCTGTTCTTAATTTCATTCCTAACGTAGCCTTGTTCCTTGCTTTAATATTACTTCAACCACAGGTTTATGCTCTTGATGGCTGGATGGGTGGTATTCTTGTCCCTATTCATACCAGTACATTTCATCCTAAGGCCGGGCAGGTTGAGGCAGAGTCTGGAGGTTAGTTCTCTACCATTCCTCTGTCCCTTTTCCTTCTTCCCGCCCCCCCGCCCCCCTCCCCTCCCCCGAGGAAAAAAAAGAAACAAAAAAAATTTCATTATAGGCACGCGCAAACACACTAGCTGTGTTTCTCTATATTTGTAACAAGTTTCTTTGTACTCATTTCCTCCTGCTTCCCCCCCTCTCGCCCCCCCGAAAGCACACATTTTCGTGGCGGTGATGGTTATACATATCCTTGTAAGCAGGTTGTGATCTACCTTGATGTTTCGATCCCGGTTGGGATGGTTGGCCCAATGGTTATCTTCAACACTTCGTTTTACCTTTTTGTGTGCGTCTGGTTGATTAAACCACCGTTATGTCCGCAGCGGTTTTTATGGATCTGGAGTTTTTGTGGTGTTGATGGTTATAATACATATCCTTGTAAGCAGGTTGTGTTCTATCTACCTTGACGTTCTGATTCCGGTCGGGATGATTGACCCAATGGTTATCTTCATCACTTTGTTGTACCTTATTGTGTGCGTCTGTTTGATTAGACAACTATTATGTCTGGAGCGGTTTTTATGGATCTGAAGTAGTGCTTCGAGCCAAAAAAGCTGAACTTGCATGGGTGTGATTTCTTTCTTTTTTGGCTGGCGGCGCCAGCCATTTTGGTCTGGTAGCCCCACAGTCCTGAAAGTTTCAGATGTATGCAAACTCATTCGTTTCTTTTTTTTATGCTTGGGGGACGTAGTGGTGGGTAATGCTAGCCTTGCTCCGTGCTTTAGGAGAGTGATCATCCGGTTGCATTTGTGAACTCTCCTTTTGGAGAGTGATCATCCTGTTGCATTCGGTTAACGATAGCCTTGCTCCATGCTGTAGGAGAGAGATCATCCTGTTGGATTTGTCATGCTGATTCAAATCTCTTCTAGAGTCTCTTCTTGGGGTCTTGTCCATGGGTAGCTTATGACGGTGTGCTTCTCAAATGCTCTGTGACTGGGATCTTGGCGGATTCAGCGTAGTCATGCTGATGTGTTTCATGATGGGGATGCATGTCTTGAGCTCGGATCTGTCCAGTGCTGATGTGTTTCCTGATGGGCATGCATGTCTGGAGCTCGGATCTGTCCAGAATGGGTTGTGTGTGCTGATTGCTGAGTGAGGAAAAGGGAAAACAGTAAAAGATAATGCAAAAAAAAAGTGAGAAACCCAAACTCGACATTCGAAGGAGTCACGTGCCCTGTGCCTGAGTGCTACACGCAGCTGTAAGTAAACAGATCACATGTTCAATTCTGATGGGTACAAGGATGTTAGGTGCTGACCCTTTGAAAAGAAAAAAAACAAAAAGAATTCGGAAAGGAAAGCTGAAACTGCAAGTTGAGCTGGAAACTGCGAGGCTCGGAAAAAGTCGAAGAAAGAATGAAAATGACTCTGGGAATAGGAAAGCGAGTAATGGGGAGGAGGAGGCAGGAGGCAGGGGGACTCTTCTGACCCCGAATGTTGAGAAATGCCCTTGAAGATGGATGACAGCTCGAATTTTGTCCCAACTTGTGTATGTTTGTCTTGTTGGGTTTATTTGTGCAGACGTGGCTGGTGGGGTTTATGTGTGGCGTGTTTGTTGCATCGTGGACGGGAGTTGTGAAGTACCACGGACCTAGGCCTAGTCGTCGACCAAACCAGGTGCTCTAGCCTTCTCTGCGTCCCCACTTCCCTGGTCCCTCTGTTGCAAGGGTAATGTCCATACTTCTGCGTTTTTGGTCATGTCTATACTTCTGCCGCGTTTCTCTAGAAGGGGGAACGCGGTTCTCTAGAAGGGGGAACTCAGGCAGGTGGGACGTTTGACCAGAAGATGTTATTTTTTCTATGCTCCATTTCCCATCTCCATCCGCCATTATCTTTGTATGGGGTTGTAAGCTGTGACGTGCATCCTGTAAGGCAGACTCACACTAAGATTTCAAGTAAGGGGTGGCAACCTGCATAACTGGTTCCAGTGGAAAAGGGTCTAGTGAAAATGGTACCGTGGTTCTGTTGAGTGGTCACAAAGGAGGGATTTTTTGGGATGACTTGCAAAAAATACCTAGCTAATAGCCCACAGCTCGGGCGTGGCTTGCCTGTGTTCAGACACCTCAGTATCCACCATTCACACAAACTGAAAACATCCAGTATTTATCCAGATCAGATTCTCTATGGCCGCACCCAGGATCTCTGTCCTTTCAGGTGCTAAAAATAGCACCTCCTTTATGCGAAAACTCACGAATGAAACTAAAGGGAAAATTGTGGCTGCGTTGCTATTGGGTCATGACATTGACATTCCAAAAAACTTCTACCCTCAAAGTTTGCTGCGAAGGTGCACACAGTCCCACACTTCCCTACTCTCCAACATCATTCTTTTGTATTATTGCGAAGGAAAATCGCAATGGCATGTGGAAGCAAATATCCGAAGGGTATAGTTACAGCTGGGCTTCTTTGTATGAAACCGAAGGCAATAATGGTCGTATACAGTTGGAAAATTCTTTGTGCTATTATGTCCTAACTAGTTGCCCTTCTGGTGAAGAGATGGGAATGCTGTCTGAAATGCGCGTTGGCCATTGAATGCCAGTGCAGATTTGTTCTATGGTTGTGAGGGAGGTATTGGGATGGCATGGAAAACATGTTTAACTACTTGCGCATTGTGAAGCGTGAATGAATATAAATGGAAAGCACCATACCATGTCACTCTGAGTTGTTGCAAAGCAGAAACTAGGCTGGCACAGAGGAGGTCTCTTAAACCGCCACTGTGGCCCTGCTCAGAGATGGCAAGGTGAACAGAGGACACATTGTTTGGATGTCCAGGGTCGGGTGAAACAATGTTTCAGCAATTTTGCTCTGGGTGCCATGTTGGTTTAGCTTGTCTGCAGTAAGACATCTACATAATGAACCGAGGGAATTTCATGGGATTCAGGGTCGGGTGGAAAATGAGGTTCAACAATTTTGCGTTGGGTACAGTGCTGCGAGGATACGAGTCCTCGGCATGCCTGGAAGGGGGGTATCCCTGCTGCAAGCATTGTGCCCGCCTTAAGTGAAGGTGGGCCCTGTATCTCAAAGAACCCTGAATAGTGCAAAATTCAGCAGCCCTGGAGGGCGCCAGACAGCTACCACGCGTCAGTTGGTTACGTGTTCCCTGCTCGTGAGCATCAGAATCTTCCATGAGCCTTCCAGGCTCTTCTCTTCTTGACTTGGAATCTGGCCTCTCGGCCTATCAGAAAACAGGGAACACCTCAGAGTGCACGAGGTGGTTAGGCGCACTGAACCGATGCGCGCCCGGGCCACTGTCAGAACAGGCCTGGGCGCAGACACTTTGGACCTGCTGGGCACACGGGCCTCCCAGCCATGACAGCCTACGGGCCGGGCTCCTTTCCATATAGGAAAGAGCATGGCCGCTGGGAGGGCACTCAGGCACTTGTGTGCAAGGCAGCAGCGCTGCTGGATCATTTGCTCACGGCTGCTTGCGCTAGGTGCTTGTGCGAGCACGGTCCCAGGAGGTGGGCGCTGCATGTAGACAGCGCCAGAGCCCAGCCTCCATAGCCAGGCTGGGGCTCAAGGATAGCTAGCGGGGATTGGCGGTGGTCCTTGGTTGGAGGAGGAGGGTGGGGGAGAAGCATGGTCATCGTCTGCATGTACTGCAGTTGCTGCTGCTAGTCAACTGGTTGCTTAGTCATTTTGATAGGATAGCGTAATAGCTGTATTCGATCGTATTCTGGGCGCTGAGCGCCCGCAGGAGGAAGAGCTTCAAGGGCATTGTTGGTGGTGGCGAGAGAGGGCTTTCATTGACAATTGAGTTCACTGCTTTTGTTCTCCTTCAGTGTGATATCAGTGCATTTCTGCTTTCTGGACAGCTTATGACTATCTGGCATTCAGTGTGATTTTGCAGTTTGGAATTCTGTCATTTTGCTATTGATCATTTTCCTTGCAGTGGTGGTTTAACAACGTGTCCATTGAAGACATCTACATGCATGGGTCCTGGGGACCATCTCACGCTAGTGTGTACATGCCAAGCGTCATACTCCCACACACAATGAACAGTAGTCTGACAATAGACAAAGATAGAGAAGATGAGGACCGAGTATCACAGCTTATATTATCAAAAATATGAATACAAAGTGTTTCAAAGTTCCCCTGAGTCCAGTGCTCATCAGCGCAACACCACTATCTTGCCAACTCATCAATATGACTTCCAGTGAATCAGCGCTACCCCTGCAGATAGTCTCCAAGTCATCAATATGGTCACTACTCATCAGCGCCACCTCTGCAGGTCACATTCAACTCAGGTATCTTCCATAGCCAAACCTTGAATGAACACTCTCAGCCTCAATCCCTTCCTCCTATGATGCATACACACTCTTCAATACTCGTGAGGATCTACTCTGGATACTACTCATAGCTACATACTAACCCTCTACTACTAATGCTAACTCGCTGGGCAGCTATGGCTGCATCACTTTCAGCGTACAGGCATCTTCCTCCCTCCAGCGCGTCTTCTCCTCCAGCGCTGCCCCTCCTGACTCAGCGCACAAGTGCACCAGCACTTCCACGCATTGCAGCCAGTGGAGATCTGGCGAAGAATGAGGCAGGCAGCTCTTTATAGTGCTGGCCACTCCTCGCTGGGTCTGCATTGGCTCAATTCAGCCTCTCCCTTTGTCCCAGACCCTGCATTGCATGTGTCCCAGTACAGTCCCAATGAGATTCAACTGCTGCTGAGGCACTTCGGCCTGGATTTGGACTTGAAAGTCTGGATCTGGACTGACCCCTTGACTTAGACCAGAACTGGGACTGTGCCTACTGACTTCACTTTCGGACAGGCACAACTCTAAACGAACAGACACATTTACTACTTGAACAGGCACTTTCCATTGCACGAACAGGTACACTGCCTACACGTTCAGACACACCCTTACTCGAACAGACATGACATACACATCTCCTGGTGAACAGGTAAGTCTTTTGACAATGYCCTTTGCCTTAGATTKAGATGTGCCTGTTGATAGAGAACTTGACTTTTGACCTGTTTTCACGTTTCTGAGCCCWGGCAAGATACCTTTTCACAATGCTTTACTTTTACAAGGCCTGTGCTGCTCTATTTTTACAAGGCCTGAGGCCTATATCGGGTAAAGGCCCTTTTATACATAATGAACGAGAGAAATTTCATCAAAAAGATCGCGTTCCATTGTGGAACATTGAAATGACTTGTTGTTAAACGGACAATGTTTCGGTAAATGTTTCGGTAACGTCTTCACAGGCATATATTTACCTGATTGTTTGACTGTACCTCATGTTCTTGTTTGTGATGGTTATGAATACTCGGAAGATCTTTTGTCGAACCTCTTCATTTTCTGAGTCTCCTTTTTGTCCCTCTTGGTTAGTGCTCATCCTGCCTCCAAATACGGTGTTCTTTGCTGAAGCTTCCTGTTTTTTTTTTTTTTTTCCCTTTTTTTTCCCGTCTTCGTTTTTTGCGTGTGTCTCCGTATTGTAGCTGATAAGGTGTCTTTGTTTTCTCCTTTTCTCTGTATTCTTCTGTTGAACCTTCCTTTTTTGTGTGTGCTGTGCTGTGCCTGACAAGCTGTTTTGGTTTGTGCTTTTCCAATTTGGCTCTTCTGTGTCTCTTTTCTCAGGTTTTTGTTGCAAACCACACATCCATGATCGATTTCATCGTTCTGGAGCAGATGACCGTCTTTGCCGTCATTATGCAGAAGCACACCGGATGGGTTGGTAGGTGGAAACCTCTGTTCAAGCTTCAGAACAGGTTCTGTCTGATCTGGTTGTTGGATCACGGGGATTGGTCCCTAGACGTGAGACATTGTTGTCTTTTTGTAGATGGGTGCTTAGATGCGAAGACCTCTGTTGTGCATGGTCGCCCAAACGTTAGAATAAAGTTGGCTTTGGTTTTCTTTGTCAATTGTTCCAATACAAGGAGACTGGGGGAGCTGCTGCTGGCCACTGGCCTGTGAGCATCCTTCACTTCGTTGCATCTTCTACAAGGCGAAGTTGCTGTCATTGTTCCGTGGTTCGCTTGCTTGCTGCTCAGGCACCACATCCGGGCGTTCGATGTGTTATATGCGGTTATCTTTTGGAATCAAAAGCCTGAATTTACGGCGGTCTCTTTTGCTTGAGCTATCCGTATGTCTTTGCATGTATTTTTTTGTTGCCGGTGCTGTGTCCACTTTTGGTTTTCGGAAACTCTGTCTTGAGTTTCCATCATTTATTACCTGAGGTATGAATGACATCGGACTCTGGCAGTCAACTTGCAGAGCATCACTCAGCTGTATAGGGCCCTGTGTTTTGTAAAGTGGCCAAATCATTGCCTCAGGAATGTGTAGACGCCCTTGTGCTCTTGTGAAGGTAGGGACCCTTCGTTTAGGAGATTGAAGGTGAGAAATTGTCCACTGCATCAGGACTTTCAATGGGATGTGTGCTAGCACTGCTGTGGTGTATGGTGGAGTTGGTGTGCTGTGGATGGATGTGAACTTGTCCACGATTCTCTATCTGTGGCTATGCATTTCTCTGGTTATTGATATTGGATATTGATCAGCAGAACGCAGTACTCTTCACAGTTCAAATTGACAGCGTTGCATCATCCTGGTTTGGCCGTGAAGTCTGGTAAACGCCGAGGTACTTTCGAATGGGGGTCATGTACGGAAGTTGCCTGTATGAATTAACTTGTGTGGAGTGGGGTTCTTCTTGTGCTGTGCAGGGTTGCTCCAAACTACAATCCTGGAGAGCCTCGGATGTATCTGGTTCAATAGGACAGAAGCGAAGGACCGCGCCTTGGTTACGGAGAAGTGAGGTTCCTCTTTATCTCACACGCGTCCTTGTGCGTTCGACAAACTCGTCAAACCATCCATTTGCTTTTCTGTTTCATAATGATTTTGTATTGTCTTTAATTTCCACGTTATTGCGTGTGTGGTAGTGGAGAGTATGGGTGTGAACATGCTTATCATCGGACAGGCATGATGCAGACCCCAGAACCATTCGGGGGCGGCAACACCACGATGTAGCAGGTCTGAAATCAACCAACCTGGCGCATATGAAAACGGGACTTAGACAACGCACTCATCACCGGAGTTGGGCGAGAGAACAATATGATGCAGCAGGTCTGAAAGCAACCAACCTGGCTCATATGAAAACGAGACTTAGAGAATGCACTCATCATCATCACTCGAGTCGGAAAGTACGGCGCCATACATTGTGGGAAGAAAACCATGCATAATGGCGGTAAAGACAGGAGGTCGAAGACGATGAAGAAGAAGAGAAGGCCGAGATAAAACCAGCCGAAAATAGTAAAGGTCTCCAAATGCTTTCAGAATACAATCCCAAAGTCTGAACCTGGAGAAGTAGCCCTGAAATATCCAAGTTTCCGTCTCTCACTCTGACATATGCCTGGAGTGAAGCGTCGGTAATGCAAGTCCAAAGAATTGACAACATGAGGAAGAGACATGATGTGACACAGAGGAAGACTAAAAAAGGTGGAACAGACTGACGGTGCAGCAAAAATGATAGTTTGGTTCAGATCTGATCACACATCAAGCGGGGAGGTGTCCATGCATAGAAGAACCTCCCCGCTGCAATCACTCACGGACGAAGTGGGAGATGGGGGGAAGGAGGAAGGAGTAGAAGACCCAATGCATGTCACTGCGACGTAATAATAGTCTCTCCCTCGCCTCAACCCTCCAACCTCCTGACTGCCTCCAAGCAACAAACCCCAGATCTCAAACCAGCGAGCTTAGCTCCCGGAATACCAATGTCAAATCTCCACTCTCTCTCTGTCTCTCTCTCTCTCTCTCTCTCTCTCTCTCTCTCTCTCTCTCTCTCTCTCTCTCTCTCTCTCTCTCTCTTTTCTGTAGCGCTCTTCTCCGAAAGATATATATCACTCTCTCTCTCTCTCTCTCTCTCTCTCTCTCTCTCTCTCTCTCTCTCTCTCTCTCTCTCTCTCTCTCTCCATGTTCTATCTGAAGATTCATTCTCATTTTGCATATCTCGTGAGTGGTGGAGCCAGGCCTTAGGCCTGACACGCATGCATAGGCTGGAAGGATCATATCTAATTTTCTCTTTTTTCCTGTTTTTCATCTCCAGACTGTTCGTTTTTTCTCTCTCTTTTTCTGCTTCCATGTAGCTCTGGACACGATTGAGATGCATCGAGGTGGGGTCGTCGTTAGGGAATAGCTACCGTAAGTATGTCTGAGTAGGTCAACCCGTGTAGGCCAACCCCACCCATGCAGGGGAATGGTATCTTCTGCCATAGTTTTTTTAATGTTCTTTCACTACTAACCTTTTTTATTTATTTTTGGCTTCTGTCTATTGGTCGGTGGCGTTTGTTTTTCTTGACAGACCACATTCCAGACCTATGTTGACCCTACATGGAGCCCCTACTAGGCCTGCCCTGGCAGCTCCTTGAATTCAGGGGTCGGAAATTTTGCCTGGGCGGGTCCTGGTGGTTTAAGGAGGAGTAGGAGAAGAAGGCTCTCCCTCTTCCTCTATTTCTCCTTCTCTGATATAGCTGTGATACTGATAGGTGAAAGGGTTTGTCTTGAGCTGCAGCAAATTGCAGTGCGAAGTCTGGCTATGGATCCCCAAGCTATGACACCAAGCTGAGTCCTCTTCCGCCCAACACCGCCTCTGGAGATTCCCCTCTTGCCAGGCTGCCTACCTCCACTAGCGCTAATGCCTACAGCTAGCACGCCAGGCTGTCACGCTGCTCTCCCAGCGGCCGAGTGAGAAAAACATTGACCCACCAGGCGAACTCAATGAACCCAGATGTATACTGCGGGACTGCTACCTACCCTACCCGGTAGTAGTCCTGGGCTGTCCGATCTAACCTGATTTGATGGTCCATGGGAGTGGCCAAAGTCATAATCAAGAGGCTCAGGTACAAAGCCACATGACCTGGGTTCCAACCCGATGTCCACACCTGCCTGCTGCATCAGGAGGTATACCTGTGCCTGTCTAGAACGAACAAGGGCTGGACCAGGCGCTACAGGCCAAGAAAAGGGTCCATTCCTGATACGCAGAAAGTCTTCCCAGCCCTCGAACCAGTAAACACGTGCACCAGACCCACCACTGCTCCAAGCAGGCACGTTTAAACAGGCACTTGTCCCTGTTCAGATATCATCGGTCTGAAATGGCACTACTGGGGTACCGACGAAAACTGGCACAAATGAAAAGCCTGAGAATGACGACAAGAACTCAGAATGGAAACCAAAAGGATGGAACAGACAATATAACTCATGCTGCCTGAAGGTAATGAGCCAGTGGCTAGAGGCTGCCTCCAGGGCCCTCCAGGGCTCGTGTGGGAGGCCTGTGCGTGGCACAATGCTTGCTTTCCCTATCTTTGTGGGGATGCGTACTTGCACTGCTTACCTCTGTGTGAACCATCACATATTCCGAAGTAGACCTTTATGCTTTATCTATGTGATTCACCAAGCTGTATTGATAGGACTGAGACGGAAACTTTCTCTATTTCAATTGAATCCAAGTTAAAGAGCCCCTGATGTTGTGTAATAGTGGTGTATATGTTCTTCTGTTGTTCCAATGATTTGTAAGAGAGGGTATCCCCTAGCATTATTTTAGCCATGGGATTGCGTTCAAGTTAAGATCAAGTTAAGATCATGTTCCATTCGGACACATGGGCTGGGTAACTGTTGCATACCGTATAGGTGCAGACCAGAACAAGAACCGACCTTTCAATACAAAGTATAAAATAGCACAGCGGAAGACTTAGATACCAATGATCCGAACAATCAATATTGCAATGCAGCCCCAAACATACATCATCATCATCATTCCATGGTGTGAAGGGGTCTGGCGCTTCACACAGGAAGACTGCGCCAGCCCCAAC